CTTGGCCGGCTTACAGGCGAATAAAGCTGATTCTGAGAATAGATAGACTCAGAGTGTCTCTGCTCCTAAAGTCTCTTCTTTCCTGTTAGCGTGTAGCATCAGTGGATGCTAGCTGTGAAATCTGTGTTCTAGCTGGATGTTAAAGCCTTAATGGTAAACCCTCTGCTAGCACGTTGCACATACCTTCAGGGTCTGACCACAGGAGGTCGCACATGGGCCCATCATGGGGCACCTCCTGTTTTCTGTCAATGGTCCGGATCTGGTCCAGAGTCTGGATGGAAGGAGACAACCCGCCGTGCACGCAGAAGATCTGAAAGGTTCAAGGAGAAGCCACCGTTCAGCTGACAGCGTTTAGAGCGGGGCTGTCCGGTCCCCTTTGGGCCGCTGTCCTGCAGGTGTCAGAGGTCTTCCTGCTTCAACACACCTGGTTCTGATTAAACTGGATCTTGAGCTTTGCTTATGGCTCTCTGATGTGAATCAGGTGTGTGAAACAGGGAAAAACTCTAAAACCTGCAGGACAGCGGCTAAAAAAGGAGCAGAGTCTGACAGCTGGGCTGTAGAGCGCCCCTGTGAGGTTCATCCAGGACTGAAGGGCCTCTGGGAAAGGAGCTGTCACTAACTGATGGGGATGCTGGCCTGGCCTCACCTTGCCATCGATGATAGCAGACAGAGACAGGTAGTCGAATATCTCTGTGCAGTATCTCCACACTGTGACGGAGCCATACTTCCTGAGGCACTCGTCGTAGAAACCATAGACCTGGGTGATTTGCCGGGACTCGTGGTTCCCCCGAATCAGAGTGATCCTGTCTGGATAACGGACCTGAGGGGAGCAGTGACACATGTCAGCTCAAGACTGTCAGCAGCCACAGGGAGCCGCTTCTGAGCAGCTGGCACACATGCTCTCATCGTTACCTTTAGAGCTAGCAGCAGGAGGAAGGTCTCCACACTATAAAAGCCTCTGTCCACAAAGTCACCCATGAAGAGGTAATTTGTCTCTGGGACGTCTCCCCCCACCTGTGGGGTGGAAAGTGGAAATCAGGCTTCAGTGGCAGCAGCTCTTCTTCTCCAGATTCCAGTCTCTGTGCTTGGCCGTCAGCCATCAGGAAATCCTCATCCCCATCGGGTTCAGATGTCACGCTACAAGCTTCTGCTACCAGGAAGCTCAGGAAAGCTGGGACCAGCTCCTCATGAGACACAACAGGGGAGCATTCCACGTTCGGGACAGGCTGCATTCATGCTTTAGTGTCCAGCTCGGTCCAAAGGGGCCACTTTCACCTACTCTCTGCCGGCGGAGGCCTTTAAACACTAGCCTCATACATACGCAGCCTCTTGGCTCCATCAGGCCCAGGGCAGTGAGTCCTGTGGCTTTCTCTGCAGGCCCCATCAGAGTGGGTCACACGGGGGTGGGCCGGCCTGTCAGGCTGCTCTGGGCAGTTCATCTGTTATTGATTATGCATGTGTGGAAATGTCCACAGCAGCAAACAGATTGGCCTTTTTTTTGTTATCGGAAACACATTAAAAACAATGTTGGGGGACCAAAACAGAGCCTAAAAACATCCATTTTTAAAAAGCCAACCTAATAAAAACTTTGTTTGGATCAGACTAGACAGGGCTTTCTTGATCACTTTGAGAGGAGGGGAAGAGGTCTGCAGCTCTGTGTGGTTGTGCCTGTTGACAGTTCTGTCTGTAACCAGACTCAGCCCCCCCTTCACAGTGGAACTCTACATTTCCCTGCACAGAGCTGGCCCTGACAACAAAAAGCACCTGGATCCTGGTTAAAAGTAAAGCCTCAGACTTAAGCCTGCTCCTGTCAGCTCTCATCCAAAAACAGGAATCTGTGTCATCACCCCCTGGAGTTGAACACAAACAGAGGGCTGGAGCCACAGCCGGCTTACAGGGCTGCTTCCCAACATCAGCACGCAGCTGGCATCCACTAGCCTCCACCAGAAATAACCAGAGAAAAGGTGCTTTCAGTGGCCCAGAAAAGCCCCCCAGCAGGGATGGGTCATCCGAAGATGACGAGGTTAGGGAGAGCCAAGAAACACGATGAGCATGAGGAGCAAATGCAGAATGATGAGCAGGAACTTACCCTAAAAAGCTCTTTCAAGTCATAAAACTGACCGTGAATATCACCACACACCTGCAAGACAACCACACAACAACAGTCTCGTCATCTGGCTGAACTTTGGTCGACGATAAGCCAGGAACGGTGTGAAGGCGTAACTTACTGTGACAGGAGAGTCCACTCTCTGAACGTTGCTTTCTTCGACCAGAATCTCTCTGAAAGAACACACAAAAGACAAAAGGTCTCAGCCTAAATGTTCTATGGGCAGCACATCGCACTGCTCTGCTGTACTACCTAGGCTCTCCATGATCATATCACAAGGAAGAGATGCAAGGCCCTGTCAAACCAAAGCTGTGCTCACAGAGCCTTTCCCGTCCCCCTGCAGTGGGAACCATGTCTACCAGCTCTCTCCTCTGTCACAGGGACAGACTTTGGCTCTCTGAGGTTACCATCACTGATGGTAGTTTATCACATCTGATGTCTTATCTTAAAACCATCGAAGGCACGTTTAGAGCTCTGGCTCCTCCTGTGTCATATCGGCTGAAGAAATTCACAGGTGGCTGATATGGATCCCAAAGTGAGGAAGTATGTTCACACATCTGTTTTACACAGATAACTTCACTGCGGGACAACTTTAAAAGGCACATGAGAAAGCACCGAGTTTGGTACAATAAACGGATTTAGCCCTCAGGGAAATGGACAGAAGCTCCAGCCTAACCGTACACGTGATGCTCATTTATCTATAAAATGAAATCACTTTAGTGAAAATGGCTGGGCTTTTCTGTGAGCCTTATGAAACCTGTATGAAAACCGAGGAGGCTTGGATCCAGTACCTGGCTTTGGCACACAGGGCTTTGACTTCGTTTTCCTTAATGAGCTCACAGCGTCTGAGCTGCTCTATCTGCCGGTCCAGGTCGCTGATGTCCCCCATTGTCACACACATAGAGAGGGCTGGCCAAGCTCTCTTCACACACTTCTCCTCTCCGGACCGGGCTACGGTAAGGGTCTCCTCCCCAGCGATGGACCACTGCTCCTCTCAGAGATTAGATGGGGCTCAGCCTCTCTGGATGGCCGCTGTTGCAGTAAAGGTGTCACAGAATAAGGAACTGTGGAGGGAAAACAGCAGTCAGGCCATCGGGACAAACAACTTAACATCGCGCTGACACAAAATGCCTGTCCCGGGTCATAAGATGCATCCAGTTTTCCGCAGAATAGCTCTTACCAATAGCGTCAATCTCCAAACAGAAATTGATCACTGTTAAAGTACCTGGTTGTGGATAGGAAACATAAAATCGCCGAGAACTAACGTTGTTTGACGAGGAATCCGAGGCCTAGGGGTGTACCGCTACGCAAGCTAGCCGCTAGCATGTTAGCTTACATCACCGCTAACGACGTCAGCTTAGCATCGATGGTTTGGTAACTCAGCCAACCATTTTGTTTGGGAACTGGCCCAAAAACGTTCACATCGATGGGAAGATCCTGTACTCATTTAACAGCCATAAGAACTATACCAGAAGGTGCATTTTGCCAGACAAACCACAGCACTTGAGCAGTTTGAGCTCGGCCAACTGCTTGACACGGCGTTAGAGCCAGTTAGCTAAACTGTTTAGCTAACTAGCCTGTCGGCTAAACCGTTGCCCGAGGCGGCTAACGCTGCTCACGGACTCATAATAAACCGACCAGGCGTCCCATCTAAATGAACCAAAATAATTACTGTGTCAGGAGAAGGCTGAGGCAGGCATCAACGTTTCATTCCGAGGCAGTTCGTGTCTCTGGCCGTTGGATCACCAGCTTCCCCTCTCTCGCCGGTCGGCTTGCCGGTTCGCTCCTGCTGCGCTAAACAACTGCGACTTCCGGTGCGAGCACCGCTCCAATGCAAAGCTCCCGGCTCAGTGCTGGCTCCGTCCAGCCTCCGACAAACCCCGCAGACGTCAGCAGCTTGAAAAACGGAGCAGACGACGTGAGTCTGACCATAAATAAGAGCTGAAAAGCAGCAGGCTCACACTGTTCGGAGCGCCCACTCGTTTTATAGACGGTCATGTTGCCACAGAGACCACTTCATGCTTTCCCGTCCCACTTAAAAACGTTTGTGCGAAAAAAGCACAGTCAAGTCATCACAAAAGCATTTTATCAGAGCAATAACGGAATAACTCTGTCCTGTGTGCACTGTAAAGATATAAAGGGCAGTTATGGTCCTGTTGAATGTAATACGAACTCAATTAAATCAGATTAAAGTCCATTTTCCTCTTGCTGAAGAACCAAGAGGAAGGACGAAAAAAACACCTGGAAAACGTTGTTGCCACAGCTCTTCAATTGTATCAGTTTTGTTACAGATGAGTCCTCAAAGCTCAGTTATTGGCCTAATGGAGAACAGAAATCCATCAATCTGACTGGTTTTTTAACAACCCCCCCCCCCCCAAAACAGATTTAGTCTTGAAATATATGTATTTACGTACTGACCTTTGGTTTCTAACCTAAGAAAAATCTCAGATGAAGTGAACTTTGAACTGGCTTGAATTTGAAATAACATTTTAAACTTATGAACTAAACTTAAAGTGCCAAACATGCTAAAAAACCACTTGTTCCTTTTTAAAACATAATAAATCAAATGAATGTCCTTCCAGCATAACTTTAAAGCAGAAAAAGGGGTTTATCTGACAACATGTTAGACATGACGGCGTACAGGAGAGACGCAGTGTGACGTCCTCTGGTGATGAGTATCTTGATGTGTTTCCCATTAAGAGGAAGGCTTTTTCAAACAGACTCTGTAGGAACTGGACTGGTTTGGAATTAAAGAACTGGACAATCAATGAAATGGACTCTAATCGGCGTGTATCTTTGACATTTCCAGAGGACATTTGTTGTGGTTCAATGCTATACAAATAAGCTGAGCTGAATACAACCTGGATGACCCCCACAATATTTCAGGATCATTGATTGAACACTGAAAAAGAAACTCAGTTCACAAAAATACATGGTCTTTATTTTCAGAGTAATTCTCTCCAATAAAAACACAAACTTAAGCAACAAAGTCTTTACAAAACATTGACAAATTGACTGTTTCACAATTTGTTTAAAATGTCAGTAGAACGTGCACATTAATACACAACCTGCTTCAGAGGAAGCAAATCAAGCTCTATGGACTTGCCTTATGAAGAATTTATAACAAGCTATAGTTGTAGTTAAACAATAAAGAGACCTATGTCGTATTCCTTTAAAGGTTCTTAAAACTCGAGATTGTGGCTTATTAAAAGCTCCTTAAACCTCTAAACATTCTTGTTTTGATGAGTGCTAAAATGACAAAAACGATTCACAAAAAAAGAGAAAAAGGTTTTGATCCCCTCATCCCAAGTTTAAAGTGGAGCACATTCTAAAGAAAGGCACTTAAAAAGAGGAAGTCCTGGCCCGGGTGAAAGCTCACCCATCTGGACCAGTCTTTGGTTTGTGTAGATCCTCTGCAGCAAACAGAAACTCCTTCTTTTTTGACTTCTTGGAGCATGAAAATCAGGGTAGTCATAATACGTATTCCTGTAAACGATCTGTTGAATATCTCTAACAGGTCAAATATGCCCCAGGTGGCTTCACTCATTATTACCACAGTTGTTTCATAATTTAGTTATACTTAGAGGTGGAACACTTGAAACATGTAATTAACATGAGAAATACACAAACTGTCCTGGGTGGCCCGTGCATCTCACCCAATAAACGCTACAAAATTATACTTACATGCTACTAAAAAAGCTTGATTAAAAGCAGAAGTTGGAATGATTTTTCAGAAGGAATGTCCCCATTTGAACAGAAACTAAAATAATGCATGCTGTAGGTCAGGGCTGTCCTGCTCCGGTCCTCTCCGGGGTTTAGAGGTGTTCCCGCTTCATCACATCTGGTTGTGATTAAACTGGATCTTGAGCTTTGCTGATGGCTCTCTGATGTGAATCAGGTGTATGAAACAGGTAAAACCTCTAAAACCTGCAGCCCGGAGGGGAGCAGAGTCTGACAGCTGTCTGTAGGCCCGTCACAGGGAGCAGAAGTATCCATGGGTGGGAAAGGCTGCCAGTCCAGCCAGAGCTATTCCCAGACTGTCTCCCACGCTGGCAGCAGCCATGGCAAACTCCCTGTGTCTGGAGTCCGTCTGTGGAAGAGCAAACACCTTTCAAATGTCAGATACTGAGGCAGTCAGACCCTGTTGCATGGCACGCTCAGCCACTGGCTCACAGGCTAAGCATCTGGCTAAGAGTCCCTTCAACAATAGCAGGAAACCAGCCATCCATCCCAATGATAAGGAAACATGTCTGCTACATGGATGTTGTGTCCAGTGTGGAATCTGAGGCATATGTATGAGTTACAGACCTCTTTGCTAATGAAGTGGAAGGTGTTGACATAGGCAGCTCCACCTAGCAGACCCTCATAAAGAATGATGGCGAACACGAGCCAGGCGCTGGGCAGGAACTGGTAGCGAGCAGCCAGCAGAAGAAACACTGCATTCACCACCTGTCCAAGGAGGAGAGGCAGGCATTGCAACAGTCACACCCCGTTTCCAGGGACACCACGGCCTCTGCCCTCACGCCAACCGGAGGTCCAGAGAGGGGTGTCCTCCTCTGAAACTAACCAGTCTTGCTCCGGAAGCACACCGACTCACAGTAAATGCTCTCAAAGTGTGTCCTCGGGGGCCGCAGCTGTAGCCTAACGGTTACAGCGGGTGGACCATATACAGAGCCTCTGCTCGCAAGCCGGCGGCCTGGGTTCAAATCCAGCCCACGGCCCTTTCCCGCAGGTCTCCCCCTCTCTATCTCTGCCCCCTTTCCTGTCAAGCTACTGTCATTAAAGGCCACTAGAGCCAAAAAAATCTTTACAAAAAAAAAAAAAAAAAAAAGTGTGTCCTCGGTCTTCGGGTGTAGGTTTTTTGGAGATGTTGGCACCACACTGCACTACTCACTGACACATATTCTGGCTTCATCTCTAGGAGTTTGTCCAGACTGCGTGGGTGCGGCATCTTGGAAAGCATAGCGTTGTTTTAGCTGCTGCTGCATACATGATTGGAGCTCCCTCCATAACCCTGCAGATGCTCAGTTTCCTGCTGTGTGGGGATGGATGTGCGGGCAGATCTTTATCATACAGGAGCAGGCTGTCTTCATGTAGAAACAACGGGATAACTCTGAGAGGCTCTTCGGCTACCGAATCCACATTGGCTCGGCTTGATGGGACAGATGGAGTCACTAAAATGGTCTCAACAGTGGTGGCACGTGTAGGACTTTACCTGCAGTAGAGCCAGAGCCCAGATTCTCCTGATCTTTATCCAGCGCAGGGAAGATCGAGACAGAAACACTCCAATTTGGTACAGACATTGGTACCTGAGCACAGAGACAAGCAACAAAGGCACACAACCACTGAAAAATAGAAAGGCATGGTTCTCAAAGCATAATGTGTCCGAAACAGGGAACTCACCAGCGGTACTGCTCCGCATGGGAGAGGAAAAAGTTGTGGAAAAACAGGATCTCCATCTGAGAAAGCAAAGAGCCCCACATTATTCTAGGCTGCAGACGGTGGACAAGTCTGTGTGCGGCCAGAAGAGTCTGCAGCACCTACCAGGCCCTGGTTGATGAAGTACTCTGCAAAGTAGACCAGGCCCAGAGGGAGGACAAACCTGAGCAGGCCCTGGGGACAGGAGTCAGCAGGGTCACTGAGGCCTGAGCAGCAGGACTGCAGGCCAGCCGGAGCACCCTTACCCTGATGACATGCAGCCTCTCTGAGAAGCTAAGGGCTCCTCCGGGTCCGTCCTCTGCTGCCCAGCCGGGGACGCCAGGGAATAGAGAGACAGGCAAACAGAGAGGGGGCTTCAGAAAACATGGACGTCTTCCACATGTGTCTACTGGACTCGTCTCCTGAGAGGGCTTGGAGGAGGTAAGGACGTGGTTTTCTCTGTTTTCATGGCAGCCTTCCATGCCTGTTGTTTGGTGGCGCTCATTTTAACCCCACTGATACTTCATTCACCACAGAGGGGAACTTTTTCTCTGTGACTACAGCCAGCCCAGGAGGACAATCTTTTTTACTTTAAAATGCTCTGAGATGTTCTCCTTGCCAGAGTTGGTTGTGTGGCCAAACAAAACCCCACTCAAACCCTTAGGTGACATATTTAATTTAGGTTGGATTTCATTTCATGTGATTCAGACCTGAGTTAGGCTCCCAGTGAGGGCCTCTGGAAACACCTGGCTCCATCTGACCAGGGCAGGGAGGTGGCCTCTTAAGACAGTCAGGAGTAAAATAAGTCCAGAATGACTGTCACTGATGAGCCTGACCAGGTTCTAGAGCTCAGTTCTCCACTTTGCTGCCTTTTGGCTGTCTATTGGCTGGTCTCCGAAGTCAGTCCCATGTCCCTGTGTGTGCGTCAGAGCTCAGGGAATAGCCAGACACACCCAGAACACACAGTGGGTTTGAATGTTTCCACACATAACTGAATTTGAACTTTGAGCAGCATGTGGAGGTCTACTTCTGATAGGAGTGGGAGTGTTGGCCCATTCTGAATGATCTTAGGTCTGCATCAACACAGAAATGATAAGTGGATGTTCAGTGGATGGGAGATGTAGCAGATTCCATCACTGTCTCTGGAAAAAAGACCAAACGTCTGACGCACACACACTTAAGATAAAACTCCCAACACAAGAAAACTCTTCATTCTCACCATTGTCCAATAAAAGTTAAGCTGTTTTCTCTATCATTTTCATAATCATCTGATCAGATCACAGCTGGAAATAATATACTGATATAGCCCCATCACAACTGTGGATTACAGCTCATAGCTGATAGTTCCTGCACGTGTCCCCCGGGGTGGATCGTTGTAAAGCAGAAGGCATAAAGAACTGTGAACAGGGGGACTGCTGTTCCGGGGTTTTGCCAGCAGCTGTGAAAGTTCCTGCAGCTGGATGTCATGCTGGTAAATGTGGTGAGCTCTCTTTACCTGGGCCTGATGTCTCCTCAGGCTCCTCCTGTTCTGCTCCCTGCGTGAGACTCTGCCTCTCCTCCCAGCCCACAGCCCAGCGGTCAGCGTCCGCCCTCCTCCACTGGGGCAGCGGATGCTCGGGGACCAGCATGCCAAAATAGCTAGTGGACACAAACATGCCTCATTCACTAGTGGCAGTGAAACAACGCAGTTCTCCTCAGGAGCAGATGTTCTTTATCACACACTCACACAGCGGTAACCAATGAACAGCTCTCAGGTCACTTACCTAACTACCATAGCCAATGGGACCACCAGCATGATGAGCAGAGTCACCCTGGGGGTGAGGCCACCCTGGATGAGGCTGGAGTAGAGAAAGGAGCCAGCAACCCCTGCCCCACCAGTGCCAGAGCCCCAACCCTCCAACACGGTTCTAGGCCAGAAGAGAGCCAGTGTTCAGGGCCACAGGAAGAGCAGCCACCCAGAGGAAGCTGCTCTGTGCTTACCTGCTGAAGAAGACTGTGAGCGAGAGGAAGGACAGCTCTCCCAGTCCAGAGCTGACGCTGGCAAACACCACTCCTACAGACCAGAGGAGAGAGATGAGCTGCCTGTGGGGAGGGGCTGTGCAGACCCTCGGATCAGATGGCTTCTCCCTAAGTGTGCGTGAGATACTGGACAGAAACCCTGGCAGCGTCACTACACTGAAACTGAAGCAGGTTCCTGTGGAACAACCTCAGCACACCAGAGAGGAAGTGGAACTGAGCCAAAGGTCTCAGACCCTATCACACTCATCATCCAAACCCTCCCTGAGCCCGGACCAAGGCAGCAGTCGGGCAGCTTTACCCAGAATGCTCATCCACATGGCAGAGGAGAAGGACACCAGGAGGAAGCTGCTGGCTGCCATGAAGGCACAGAACAAGACGCGGAGCCTGCAGACAGACACAGACAGCACCCCTCATCCTCTGTCCTCCGCATCCAAAACAGACCAGTCCAAATGTCAGTGATAGGACCCACAGACTCTTACCCATAAGGCACTTTGTGGACCACAAAGGGAGCAACCAGTTTGATGAGGAGTGTAGGCAGGATGTCAGCTAGCAGCACCGCCTGCAGACACACACACAGACACTTTAACCTGGGAATGAAAAGGCCGAGCTGGCTATGGCCCTGCTGGGGGGGACCAACGGCTTCTCACTGCAGCTACGTAGCTTCAGCTGCTAATGTGTGTCGTTTTGACTGGTTTCAGAACTCTTTGTATCCAGGTACACATCCCCCATCTCATTGGGTCTGTCCTGACCCAATGGCTCTGCAGCCTGGTCGGACAAAGTTCAGAACAGGGCTGCTTCCCACTGTGGCGGGCTGTGTGGCGGGCTACATGGCGGGCTGCGTGGCGGGCTGTGTGGCAAGCGGCCTTTACCCCGGTGGACACGGGGCTGCAGTCGTAGGGGCTGCTGCCGTTGGGGTTGTTGTTGCCCTCTTGGCGCTCAGTTCCAGGAGCTGAAGCCTGCAGAGGAAAGGGAGGCAGGCGGTCACAGCTGGACCTGGAGCCACTGGGGGAGGGCCAGCTGTGAACGGAGGGTGGACACTGGGGGGGGGGGGGGGGGTGCCTCCTTACTGCTGCTGTGGAGTTTCTGGACTCCTGCTTTTCCAGGATGTCATGGGCAGCACTCAGCATGACAACGTAAGCATAGTTGTTACACAGTCCGAGGATCCTGAGAGAACACACAGCCGGTTAGAAAAAGGAGCAGGCTGCAGGCAGCCCACCCAAAAGCTGCCCACGGAGAGGAAACCCCCTCACTGCCGCAGCCTGGCCCCCCCCGGGGGCTGAGCAGCCCGCAGATGAGGGCTAACCCTAACCCTGGTCCGCAGGGCTCCGGAGCAGCGACCAGCGGCCGTCACGCGGCCCTGTGCGGGCTCAGCCCGTCTGACAGGGACATCGTCCCCGGCCTCCCCCCCCCGGAACGACGGCCACTCACCAAAACCCACTCCAGTTTCGCCAGTGACCTACAAATCACGGGACAAGGCGTTAGTGAGCCGAGGGGCACCTGCGCACCGTGCGTGGAAACAGGCGCGTGACCCACCGGGGCTCCCGGGGCTCGGGGCAGACCCCGTGGGGCCGCTGGGCTCCTCCATGTCTCCCGGGGGCTCTGGACACGTCCCCAGTCCGCGGAGGGGGCCCGCGGAGGCCGTGGCTCTGCTGTCAGACCGTAGACTTATGGACGGACCTAGCTGTCAGACTCCGGTTTGTTGCGCCTACAGCACTCCTGGTGCTCACGCTATTGACTTCCGGTGGAAACGGAGCTAAGCACCAAGGTTCCCCCCCTGCCAGAGTATTTATTCATATCTACTGATGAGTAAAAAGTAATGTTGAGAATAACTTATCGAAATATCAAGAATTTAGGATCATAGGTACAATGAGCTGAACAAATGTACTGAAATAGTCAGACATCCACATTCATGGGATTAATGGGCCTTAACAAACAACTGTTCCTCATCAAAATGTCTGACTGGTAATGGTGGCTTTGTTATTAATATTAGAATGATAGTAATACAGCCAGTGCCTGTATTCTGGCAGCATGAAGGGTATTTCATATTAACTTTAAGTTATACATTGTAAAACTCTTTCATTACAGAAACTTTAGCTTATTTGCTAGGGTTCAGTGCCTCACAAAATGAGGAGCCTTGGTAGGTCTTCATGTGTTCTGGTAAGATCATTAGTTTGTGTGCAAGTATGGAGAAGCTCTTCAGCTAAGCACTAACAGATGATTGTTATCAATGCATTTTCAAATATAATGATCACTAAAAGATTAAAAAAGAACATTATTGTTTCTTGATTAAGATGTCAGGTCCAATGTATTTACCTGCATTCGTGAACAGAAACGATTGTTTTAGTGGCTGAATATTCCACCTGAAGCATGTCTACTTCTCAGAGAAGTCCAGTGAGTTGGCTGAAATTTGGGGATGAAAATAGGATTTTCGATGGCTGCTCTTATATTTACCACCTTTACTAATACATTGGGAGGTGGTCTACTTTCCCTTTTTTACTTTGGTTAGGGTGATATGCAAACATGGCCGTTACATTTATCTCCACAGCCTCAGTCAGCAGGTAAAAGGTCAAAGATCACGATGGTATAGTTAAAAAAAGGCTGAACAAGTACGGTTTGTTTGTTTGAGCTGCTTACCAAAGCCTTTTCTCTGTGGAGAGATCGTAGCAGCACAGCTTTATTTAGCTAAATGACCCACAGCTTGCTCCCAGTAGGCTGGTGGGAAGCCTATCCCAGCTGCATTTAGGCCATAGGGGGATTCACCTCTCAGATCTCTTCTTTATTTTCTAAATCATTTAGTAATGGTTTAAAAACCTGCTGACGGAAAACGTTTGTCTGTTTTCTGAGAATGTTGAGCTGTACGTGATGCACGAGACCTCAACAGTCTACTGAGGAAGGCCCCCTGTTGGATCTCTTTAGTGAATGTGGCTAACACAGAGATGACACGGTGACAACATATCAGCTTAAGGGGCTGTCCATGAGCACTGTCAAAGAATCTGTTCAAAGCAGGCGTGAATCCACAAAGCGGGGCTAAACTTTGGACCAGTCAGCCGGTAAAGGGTCAGTCCCAGTTTTAGCCTGCAGCCACAGCTGCCCGTTTAACCAAACCTCCGGTGTGTACCTGTGCACAGCTGTTTCCATGCATCTTTGGACCACAGAGAGTCCAGGGCCCGCTCTGACCAGCCGTGTGTTGACAGAAATCATCTGGACCAACAGATGAAGCCATGAAAAAACGTTTGTCTGCTGTACAGCCTTTGGTTGTTTATTGGTGGTAGTTGTTCACACACACACACAGCCCCTGGCTACTCTTTAAAATGTGCTGACTACTCATTGGCTGAGCAAAGGCCTGCTGAATCCATGAGCCCTGGAGCTGGGAATAACCAGCCTGTGCCTGGCATCCTCCTTGCCACTGGAAGTGATGCTGTAAATGATAACAGGCTCCATCCACCGGTAAGCTGCAGTCATCTTTACACACAACACAGCTCATCAGCTCCCCTGAGCCCAGCATTTTGATCCCAGAATGTCCCACATGTGTTACTGTCACACCCCATAAGCAGGAGAAAGCAGTAGGCCCATCACACACAGAGAGCGAGCATTAGTCTTTGGACTCCCCCAGGCACTCTGAGTTGTGAACTGTGAGCGGGTCAGGCTGGGAAGAGTTGCAGCTGCCTTTTCCCGACTTTGGTACCAGGCTCTCTGACACTTTCCCCTCCATCTGGCCGTCTTTCTCAGCTTTCCATCTCTCCGCTTTGGTCTTGAACCTCAGCCCGTGGCCTGGAGAGACAAGAGTCAGTTTAGTCCAAATGAGACTTTTAACTCACTCAAAATCGGAACTTCTCTTTTTAGTTTTCTCCATTAATATGGATCCAGCGGCTCATCCTGACATGAGTAATGTTTAACGTTTGCTTTTTGCATATCACAGAATTAGTTTAGCCGTCTTCAGTCATGTACAACACTGGAATAAGCAACACTGCTTTTTTCCTTTTTTCCTTTCTGTATTTCAGTTTTAAAGAGAAATATTTGAGGTATTGTTTAGGAGGAACAAAAATCCGATGGGTCACAGAGAGCACATGACACAATCTGACGGATGGATGTGTGTGTGTGTGTGTGTGTACTGACTTGGACAGTCTGCCACCTCTTTGAACGCCTTCTTCTTACAGCAGCCCCGGCAGAGGTTGAACACACACTTATTTCCCTGGAGAGCAAAAAAAGAGAAAAACATCAAGTTCTCTGAGTTACAAATAATCCTGATGGCTGGTCTAACGATCTGTGGGTGAGTGAGGGACACCGGCCGGTCCAGGCCCTCCTGCCTGTGCTTACCTTTGGGTTGCCACACTGCTCACATTTCAGGTACTTTGCTGCAGGAGAAAGAGGACACTTACTCTCTGAACAGAGCCCCGTTGGAAAAGAGCCAGGCAGAGTTCAACTCACGTTTCTGTTCAGGACAGAAATTTTTGTGGGGGTTGCGGGATCTTTTTTTCTGCTGGTTCTTGGAGAGGTTGTCGGCGGCTTCATCCAGATCCTCCAGCGCCCTCTTCTGGCTCCCCGTCTTCTTCCCCTCTGAGTTCTGACCCGTGCTGTTGACCCCAGGCTGCTTTGGTCTGTCCCCAAAGCCACAACAGGAAAAGTACATTGTGCTCATGAAGAGGTTTAGGACCGAGGACCCCAGCAGATACACAATGTAGGACCCGGATTCTCAGTGGAAAAGGACGAAGAAGAAGCAATAATGGATGAAACTGTGTGTGGAACAAAAGGCCAGCCCGGCGTGACTCACACTGGTCTGACATACGGCTGGCAGATCCAGTGAGGGAAAGGCAGGCCTCCCTCTTTCTCTTCCACACCTTGTGCTTTGGCCATCTCTTCCTGTACAAACACACAAAGGTCTCACCCAAACACAGTCTGAGCCTGAGTTGTCCAGGTGTGCCGTATTTGAGCGATGTGGCTGGTGCAGTCACCAGGAGGGCGGGACTTAACCAGTGAGGCCAGCAGGCCACAGGCTTTACCTGGCAGCGCTGCTTCAGGTGCCTGCTGACCTCAGCCAAGGCCTGCAGAGTCTTCACTTTGGCTAGTTCCTCCCTCAGGTCCTGGTGGATCTGCAAACTAAACCCAGACCACATGCACACAGCTCAGAACAAGCACACGTGAAAGTACAGGAACGGCTAGCGCCTGGCCTCCCGCTTTGGAGACGGCCGGTTCGGAGGGACTGGAGGCAGAGTGAATCTATCTTAAAGTGGTGTGAACAGTGCTTTTTATCGGCCAATTAAAACCATTCAGAGCTCCTGATGCTGATTTTCTACATATTGCTGTTGTTAGTCTGTGTTTCATGCTGCAGTAGCAAAACAATCCCCCAGCTTGGGATGACTAGAGAAAGGTTTTCGAGGCCTTGCCTCAGACAGGCCGGTCCACCTGCTCCCGTCTGTGTGTGAAGCAGAGAGCCATGCACACACACGCCTGTGTGAGTGGACACAACTACATCTGGAGTGATTTGATGACAGATAAATACAACTAATGGCTTCAGCAGGTGTCCACCGGTCAGCATGCTGCTTTTAGTTTCAGACAACCCCCGAACACAGCTGGACTGACCGTTTCATCTGCCCTGGCTTGAATTCAGCCCTCACACACACCCCCTGAGTAGCTACACATACGTGTGGTGCCAGAGCTTGAAGAGGTGGGCCCGCACATAGGACAGCGAGCAGGGGGGGTGCTGGTTCACCACCTCCAGATACTCCTCGGCCATCTCCCACACCGGGGGGCTGCGGCCCTCGAACAGCGCTGGATTATGCAGGTTCCCCTCTGGGTAAGGGCAAAGGGAAGCAGAGGCAAGGTGACACCCCGGTTGCCATAGCAACCCTGTCGGCATCCACAGGAATGGACCCGTGGGGTGTGAGCTCCTACCTGCGCTCATCACCCCCTGCACCCCCGTCTCCTGGATGCAGCGCTCCACGTCGCTCAGGTGCTGGATGTTTCCGTTGGCGAACACGGGGATGCTCACGGCCCTCCTGGGGCACAGCAAACACAGCACACATCTAACAACCCTCAGGCTGAGGGGCCAGGGCACAGGCTGTGTGGGAGCTCACCGCACGGCCCCGATGTGCTCCCAGCTGGCCATGCCCGTCAGGGCTCCTTTCTGATCTTTAGTCCGGCCGTGCACCGTCAGGAGCTGGGCAGACACAGGAGCGTCCATCACTCACACGCCGTCACGGAGGCGTGGGAACTGGACTCAGCTGAGGGACAACTCAGCTCTCACCTGGCATCCGGCCTTCTCCAGCATCTGGGCATAGCACACGGTTTTCTCCACCTCCTTGAACACCCGGATCTTGCAGGTGATGGGCACAGAGAGCTTTTCATTGGCTTGCCTGACTGACAGATAACAGGAAGTTTTATGTTGATTCCACAGTGAAAAGCCTTCATATGAACTAAAACAGGATGACATTTGTCAGTTATGGAACACAAGGCCACAGACTTACCCATCCTCTCCAACAAGTCCCACTCGTCCTGCAGAAACACTCCATAGTGTCCTTAAAAACAGCACCACCGTTTAGTTGCTTTATGTGGTGTGACTCCCGCCTGACCCAGCAGAGCCAGAAGGGCCGGTACCTCTCTTAGCGATCATCTGCGGACAGCCCAGGTTGAGGTCGATGGCGTCACAATAGTCCTGGGCCAGCAAAGCCGCCTGAAGGAACACCTCTGGATCGTTGGCACAGAACTAACACACCCAGAAACGCCGTTAGTGTGTGTGCGGACCGCTGCTGTGTGTGTGTGTGTGTGTCTGCGCAGACAG